AATCATGAATAGTAGTGCGAGTCGAAAACAAGCGTTAAAGCCTTTAATATGTCTTCAAATATAAATAAACATCTCGTTGATATTTTCAGTAGTAAATGGTACCAATAACAGCACATTTGAGCAATGCAATTGTAGGGGATAAAAAGATCAATTTTTCCGTGCAGTACTGTACGAATTATACGCTCCTCACCTGTTAAGAGTTTGGCCGAGAGTTGTCTCCTTCCTTTTCTGATCTAGTGCTGTTCTTTTCTATTTTGCACCGGACAAACTGAAGGTCACATCGCTACAGAAAGTAAACGAAGTATACCAACAAGCGGCAGAAATTGTAACATTTCGGCGAAACTGACGTATTCTTGTTTATGAGAACAAGAAGAAAGAAAGAACTATATCTTAATTCGTCGTTATTATCAGATACCTTACCGAATCTAAACCGTGTTCCCGGTCGATCTTTAGCGCTTATACCTAATACCTATTAGTGGTCTGTTTTACTTCTTTTTTTAATCTCTAGATGTTTAAGCATCGGAAAGCGTTGTTCTGTGTGAAAGCAGTAGGGATTTTAATGATATTCATACAACACAACCCTAATTTTAAATAATATTTCATGAATGTAGAATATATCGCTGAGGTAGAGGTTTTGAGACTAATGAGCGACCTTCTCGTGGAGGGATAACGCCCGCTAACGTTTCGTCGTTTTCTTATGTGTAATTAAGACATCAGTGTAGTCCTCTAAATCGGTTTTATACGCCGCTTAAACGTTTAATGCCTTGATCGTCCTAAATGAACTAAGATGTTCCCCTTTTATTAAGGATTTTAATAAAGAAAGTGTATTGTGTTTATTAAGTGTGTATGTCGCAGGCAAGAATAAGTTGCTATACTTCTCCTTGTCTTAGCAATTTCTTGCTGGCTTGATTCTTATCTTGCTAACACGGATCTTGCTATTTCTTATTCTTGCTCGCTTGGCGAGCCTCCAAATTCTGATTTGTCTTAAAAATAAGTGGAAACTAAACATGATTAATGTCCCATATTGACGATTTTTTTCAGTCAAATAGCATTTGCTTGCGCATTTAAGGAAATATCTACTATTTTATTAAGCAAATGTTATTTGGGTAACAACTTTCTAGGCAAATGATATTGGCGATGTAGGTTCAATTACTTTCGGAAAGATACCTGCGGTACGCAAATTTCATATGACAGTTGCACTCGGAGCTAAAGAATTATGCATATATATTTATATGTAATTAATTGTTTCTTAATGGATATGTTTAGGTTACAGAACGAGATGACAACACTTAGTTCATTGTCATGTATTCTCCTTTATGATGATGTATCATACACATAAGATGAAAAACACTTCGTGAGTTGTCTTCTCCTGCCGTGTCTGTATCTATAATCCTAATCATATTCTTCAATCCAGACATTTGGACAATTTGTATACTATCTGGTATCCAACTGGTTCACAGACTAGCCAAGTAAGCATGTTAGCAGTAACATATGTACTAGTCGACTGCAAATGTCTAATTACATGGAATCTTCCCAAGTGCATGTGCAATTACAATAGTTAATGATCGCATCTTCCAGAAACGTTTTTAGTGTCCTTAACGCCCACTGCCTCCGCCATACTTTTTCAATGCAGCTGATCTAATCATACTTCATACCTAATCTAAAAACCAGTTTCTTTTTGATAACAGTTAAACGAATCAAAATCAAAAACCTAACAATCATTAAAATTCTGTCATCTGCATTAAGTTGAAAATATGTGAAACATTTACTAGATTTACACATATTTCAAGTAAGATTTTTTGATTTTTAAACTTTTTAAGTGTGTTATTTAAGTCTAGATGTGGTTTAAAGAGACATAATGTTCTGGGAAACCTGTTTTAGTCTATTTTTTAGCGATATTCTGTATAAGTGCTCTTTAATTCTAATATTAATAGCGCTATCACTTTGACCAGTGTGTGACAAAGTATTTTTTAAATGCTATTTCTCTCTAATAAATCTATTTTAAATTTAACTTTTGATAACAGAGAACATAGATGAATGACATTTTACACGTTGAATATACGAACCGGGTACCTGTTCCATATCTAGTCGAAATCGTTTTATTGCAATGCTATTATGACTTCAAATTGCAAAATATGTTGAAAAGTACGATTTGATTTCCGAAGTCATTGCAATAGCTTTTAATTTTTAACGTCCCAGTCGTAGGGATTTTGTTTTTTTACTCGAAAACTTGAAAAAATCTAAAGGGTTTACAGCCACCCTCCTCGCGTCCTTGGCTACTGATATTTTTCAATAATTCTAAGTCTCGCATGTTCGATTTAAACTGGAGTCGAATTCAATTCGACTGGATTCGAACATTATTCGCATGTTATTAATTGAAAAAATTGAAAAAAAGAGGAAATTATGAAGAAAAAATAAGTTTTTCCAAACGGGATCAAGAGAATAAGATTTCCATTAGTGAAGAAGTGCATACTTAGTGCAATACAGCATGGATAATCTTCGATTAAATCTATAATCGTTTCTATCTCGACCAACCCCGTTTTCCGCGAAAATCGTAATCACCCGGTAGATAAATTTATATTTTCACGCACGTTTTGTTCGACGCATCCGGAACAGTCTGGAGTAGCAAAATGTGAAGATAGAGCTGAACATCGCTAGGTTTTCAACCACGGCACACGCTGATTGCGCCGCGTCGCTGTCGCTCCGCCATCCGCAGCCATCGTCGATGCGTCGCTCCGCTTCGCTTCGCTTCCTTCGCCAGCCATCGCCACCTCCTCGTTCGTCCTCAGCGGCGGCAAGAACTCTCGCAGGCAGCAGTGTAGCAGGCTGGCTGGCATCACGTGCGTGCTGTCATAGCAACGGCGGCGAATACTAGTGGCGGCCGGCGCGACAAGCCTGCTGCGACCGAAACGAAAAAGACATCATCGTGTAGGCACCATCATCTCTTCTCCGGGTTTACTGTACTTCGTTGTTTTACTGACAGTGCAGGTGCACAGAGCGTGATGTAATCAATGCAGCTGACGTGATGCGAGCCCCCGATGGCCGGCCAGGGCCCCGGGAGCCCCCCGGACCCATGGGCGCTCGACCCCGAACTTCGACACCACATACAACATTGTCCCTGTACCTGCAATCATTTGGGATACGGCAACTACTTGGACTACCAAGTAAGTGACGGCATTTCTTATTATTAAGCACTGATTTCCGGTAACAGGTAACTGAAAGCTCACTTTATGAAATTCCGTGCAAAGTTTAATCATAAGTCAAAAACTTACTTCAACTTTGCGCTCACTTATTTAATAACCAGGAAACTTATTTAATGTATGAGTTCTAGCTCGCTAGGATCATACATAATTTCATATTTTACTCACTTCATTATATTTAATGTTTTCTTTAGTCTTATCTTTGAAGTAACTAAATAAATAAAATTGTTTCAATCCGACACAGAAACAGCAAAACAATGGAGTAAAAGTTTTGCCCAACATAAAAAGACGTAATATTTTAAACGAGAAAATCTTGAAAAATATCTTTAGTCTACATCAAAATATTAATACATTGCTTTTTATTGTTTTGAATTAAAATTTTCATTTATTTACATGCATAATTCGAAAATCCTAAATCGCCTATAAAATTGATATAAATTGATGAAACCTTTGAACAGCAATCGTTTTCATTATCAAGTTTCTGGATGTTTAAAGTTTGTATGAAACTTATTTGTTTTTTTTTTCGGATTTAGTCTGATTATAAGTTTCACAAAAAGAAGAAAATAAATATTGCAATCCTTTTATTCGCATATTCTGCCTTGAGGCTGGCTTGAACGCTGTATTTTCTTCCTTCTTTTCATACTTTAAAAACAGTTTCTATAACAAAGCCAAACGTAAGGTATAAAAATGTAATTAAATTCTAATTATTTTTCTCGAACGTCATTATTTCAAAACAACATTAGGTATTCGCCGATTTGTGTAGCAATTTATTGATTTCCCAATTTATTCGAACGTGATTTGTACGAAATCGAAACACAATAGAATCTTACGTCACTTAGGACTTAATCTTCGTTCTTTTTTATTTGACTTTAAAGTTACATGAACGTCGCACTTGTTTTAAAGCCGCTCTTATAGAATACTTTTCGTCGGTACACGTTGTAGATCGACAATTTCTTGTTTGCACTAGTCGATAAGGGTTTTACCCGTTTCCTTCAATTTTCTTTTGATTTTGTTGCCCTGTGTGCGGTGCGATGGCGTTTGATTGAGTTCGTAGAATAGAATTTGACCTACATAATGGCAAAACCGTATTTCTCCCCGTTAATCTGGTAGAGGATACGCACATATATATATATATATATATATATATATATATATATATATATANTATATATATATATATATACGCGTCGTTGTCAGCATCATCGCAAAATGTGTAGTCACCTAGTTTGACCCGTTTTCGAGGATTGGATACCAGATAATACATCCTGGTATAAAAACAGATTTTCCATACAATAACACGAAAATCCACTCAGTCAATGGACCGTGGAATAAAATCTTACGTTAATCTGAATGCGACCGCAAGTACCTACAACGAATACGAAAAAAATATTGGACTCGCACCCTGTGGGCTCCATACCATGGGCAAACCATAAAAAGTATATGTATATGTTAAGTGGAACTTGGTCATAACGAATGACAACTCTGGTAAAAAGACTTAAACTTTTGGGTGTTTTATGAAGTATTCTGATGGGCTGGCTGGTAGTCCCGCTTCAGTCTCCTTTTAGGAATAGTAGGTAGGAATGGGTGGGTGGTGGTTGGGGTGTGAAATATGAAACTGACGAAGTGAAGGTAGACAAGAGTGTAAGATTATCTGTGGAATATTACTACCCCAGAATTTGCTTGGACCAAGGCAGACGCACCTGGAATCGAACCGGTGTCCTCTCGAATACTAAGCAATAGCCTAAACCTCTAGGACATGCAGCTCCATTGACAAGTGTGATGTAACATCTCGTAAAGACTGAAGGCGAGAAAATGAACGATTTTGACCTATTTTGGCGGTTACTCTTTACACTATTCAAAGCAACTTGTTGATTTACGTCATAGTTTTATTTGTGCAAGTAGTTGGAACGATCCTTTTACTGCCAGTAGGAACTTTAGCCCATTTGTACCTCGGTCTGCAAAATGAAATATTTCTCACTTCTAATTGACTCTGTTGGTATTTATTACCATTACCATAAGGACAACAATGTTCCGTGCTAAAAATTGTTTTCAAAATTGTTCAGAACAAAATATTACCGGTCCTTAAGGTGGCGTTATAACCAAGTTCTACTTAGAGTCCCTAGAAATACAAAATCTACACATTCATGAGATAGCTCGGATTAGCTTGATTAGATAATAGTAGAACCACAATCGTTGGGCTACTTTAGACGGGACGTTTGGTAACATACTTAAATAGAATTGCAAAAGACACTACTGGTATCTTAACATAGTCATCATCATAAGGTCGTCGGTCCTAAGATTGGTTGGACACCCATCTCCACTCTTTCCTACCTTGATGAGCTAATCCTTACTTTTCCATAAAATCAGAACATCCCACATCCTTAACTATTTACGAACAGTAATCTAATCTAGGTCTACCTGTACTCCCCTTAAGTCTTGTTTCTTCTTCTAATATGTCTCTAACTAGAAGGTGTCCTACCAATCTGTCTCGCCTATTTCTTATTGACTTCCATATCGCTCTCTGTTCATTTATAACCTTCTCTGTCCATCATTATCCTGTAATGCCACATTTCGAACACTTGTAACCTTTTCTTTTCTGCAAACATACACCTTTAACAATCTGTTTAGAATTTCTAAATGACTAACTTATTGGGATCCGTCAAATGGGCTACCAAATACACCATCTGGTGGCAAAATTTATAACTCGAATGAGGAAAAAATTTACATAGGAACTGTGCACGCAAATTGTAAAATTGTTTATTAAAATAATAAAACACGTTAAAAAAGTAAAAATTTTTTTGATGATGGAGTCGACGAAGTTTTCTTCTAAAGTTAAATCAAATAAAAAGTTAATATGTTCAGTGAAAAGCTGCAATAGCACTTCAGACATAGATCTTCACTCTTCACCTACATTAACTACTTTCCAATAAAAACTAACCGTTTTATATATGTAAAAAATATATTCGGAAAATTAGAGAAAAAAGTAAACTAATAGAAGCTTGGATGAAAGCAGTAGGTATCAAAGAAGTGAATTCCGGAATAAAAATTTGTTCACGTCATTTTAATGCACATGATTATATTTCAGCAAGTATTTACCATCAGCCATAACCTTAATATTTAAAACTAGAATCATACTAAAATTATAAAGTGAGAAATTATTTATTCCTGTGTAATTGATTTAACACAATTCTAATGATACGATATAAGTATTTTGAGGTTAAGAACCTACCTGCTGCAATACAACAAAGTTGCAATAATGTGTTTGCAACGTTCTCTTAAATCGGCTTTGCACGTGCAAGTCATTGATATGATATTGCTTAAATCACCCAGAATCACCTCACCAATTATATAACGTGAATCACTTTTTAAATCCGAAGTTTGTAAAAAGTAGGCAGTAAACTTGACGGAATTTGAAGGCTAGCTTCCGGATTTGTTATTTCCGAATTTTATAATGTGATTGGCATTAAAAACACGCTCACCTTCAACGAAATTTCCTTTCCGAGGCTTTGTGTCAGCCCAATCACATATTGTGTCAATACTTATCATTTTATCGTAATTTAAAAACTTGGAAATTGCACGGTACACTATAGGAACTACGATAAATTTTCCCTAATCGGCGCCATGTTTTTAGGCTCCTCCCATTTGACGGATCCCAATAAGAAAAAAAAATATTTTTGATTGTAACTTCAATTTTAAATTATGGTGGAGCCGCCAACCATCATCAGTTTTTCATTGAATATTTTCCCATTCATCTCTCCTCTTCTATTACTACTTCCTGTAATTAGCTGACTATTAAATCGTCTGAATATAAAAAAAGATTGAAACTAAGTAACGTTCCTACATTCATTATCCAGAATATTGTCGTTTAATGGGAATTTGCAATTAAATATCACGAATCTTGTGACGTGGTGAGTTAGTTTAAATGTTAATATTCGATTATAGAGCATATATAGCAAGAAGGCTATCAACAGAAAAAGTAATTTGTAATACGTTTTACGCGAAATAACGTTATTATAATAAGCTACCAATGCTCAAAGTGCCTTTGGCTCACTGCTCATCTATGCGTTATATGCACCCCCTACCTAGCGTACCCCCATACGTATAGTCTTTTTGGGTTGTAGATGAGATGTAGTAGTAATTATGGAATCAATAGATTAAATTAGGTTAGGTTAAAATAAAATGTATCGATAACGGTATCGTTACTCCAAATTTGAACGGGTTATACTAGTATAGTACATAATTAAGTAATCTTTAAATTTTCGTTTACTACGTTATACACAAAAAAGCAAAAACAAATTGTGGTAGACAGGCATGTATATATTCGTATGGTAAGGTAATTGTTCGAAACGTTCCTAAAAATGATTCCGATGAATTAATTGTTAGAATTGCGATTGTGAACAATTCGAAATGCCAGTTATTGTTGGTTACTAATCAATAATTCAGGTCGACTGTTTAACGGATTTTCCTAACAAGTTCGTTGCCTGTTAATCTCGAGCGTATCGGGCCTGAAAGGGGTTTGATCGTGGAAACTAACAAAATAATAGCGTTTGTATTTTCTAATAACGAGATGTTTTTCAGGTGTTCAGCAATTAGTTTTGTAAACGAAATTTAATTTGAAACCAATTACGGTTACGTTTTGAAAATTCTGACCGTTTGTTTTAATTTGAAACTGGAATACGGGGTGTCTCAAAAAATAAAAAATATGATGTGTGTACTTGGATATATAATTACATGCATTTTTAGAAGTTATAATTAAGTATTTGTGTAATTCATAATTTAACTTTTTACTTGAAAAAATTTGCCTTCAAAACAATTAGGAAAACAATATTTCTGCCGCAGATTATTTGATATGTATGTACACATATGTAGTACTATCTATAGATTCGTTTGATACCTTTGATAATTCACCTGTGGAAATAATATAGAAACAGGCGGTTGATAGGTCTATTGATTAATTGCCTACAAACACTAACAAAGGACTACGAAGATACTGCTTTTATATTCGTTCCATTGTTTACGAAACCTGAAGGCCCTTTCAAATCTTTTTTCCTCTTTTAAAATATTCCAAACAGATTGTAATAATATGTTATATTATTTAAATAATATAATGGTTTAATGAGATGCGCTTTAATATCTTTTAGATGAGATTGAATTCTATTTGATGAACGGGTGGCTCTTGTCTCGGCACAGTCAATATGTGACTACCATGTCAGCATTTTCTGCGTGCGAATACATTGTTGTTTGATTGATATTTTTTCACTCAATTAATTTTTATATTTTGTGGTAATAGGAGCAACTTTGCCAATGGAATAGTAACTACTACTAGTAATCGTCACGCGTGCAATTGATTTGGCTGTGTACCAGCTGTTGCGAAGGTCACTAGTAGGTATGAATGTTTCGTCATTTGACGCTTGCGATGAGATAACGTGGCTGCCAAATTGGCAATTGTTCTTAATCATTGACATACTTTTGTGCTTTTTACTCCTTCTACGTTGTGACGCTATCACGAAATGTACCCTACATTGCCTCCAGATGTCACCTTTCAAATATTCCCGAATACTGAACAGACATATTGTATACCGAAATACGAATTTTCGTTAATTTATTAATTTCAAAATATGCATTGCATTATTCATATTTCGTAGATACCCCTTTTCAAACAAAAAAAAAAAAGAATTGAAGGTTCTAGGTTAAATATTTGCGCAGAATATGCAATTTTTCCGGTGAATGAACTTGAAGCACTCGAGAATAATTTTGGCCGCGCGTGGCTGACTTTCCTCTATTTTCGCTCCCCCATTGACTATCGGAGGAACGGCAACTTTAAACAATTGCTACATCGTCAATTTTAAAATAATCCAGTCTAAAAATTTTGCATATGGTACTTTAAATATTCCCCTATAGATTCCAGCCAAAATAATTTATTAATATTAATAAATAATGCTTACATTCCTGTCATTATTATCAACATACTTATTGGGACTCGTCAAATGGGCATACACCATCTGGTGGCAAAATTTATAACTCGAATGAGGGAAAAATTTACATAGGAACTGTGCACGCAAATTGTAAAATTGTTTATTAAAATAATAAAACACGTTAAAAAAGTAAAAATTTTTTTGATGATGGAGTCGACGAAGTTTTCTTCTAAAGTTAAATCAAATAAAAAGTTAATATGTTCAGTGAAAAGCTGCAATAGCACTTCAGACATAGATCTTCACTCTTCACCTACATTAACTACTTTCCAATAAAAACTAACCGTTTTATATATGTAAAAAATATATTCGGAAAATTAGAGAAAAAAGTAAACTAATAGAAGCTTGGATGAAAGCAGTAGGTATCAAAGAAGTGAATTCCGGAATAAAAATTTGTTCACGTCATTTTAATGCACATGATTATATTTCAGCAAGTATTTACCATCAGCCATAACCTTAATATTTAAAACTAGAATCATACTAAAATTATAAAGTGAGAAATTATTTATTCCTGTGTAATTGATTTAACACAATTCTAATGATACGATATAAGTATTTTGAGGTTAAGAACCTACCTGCTGCAATACAACAAAGTTGCAATAATGTGTTTGCAACGTTCTCTTAAATCGGCTTTGCACGTGCAAGTCATTGATATGATATTGCTTAAATCACCCAGAATCACCTCACCAATTATATAACGTGAATCACTTTTTAAATCCGAAGTTTGTAAAAAGTAGGCAGTAAACTTGACGGAATTTGAAGGCTAGCTTCCGGATTTGTTATTTCCGAATTTTATAATGTGATTGGCATTAAAAACACGCTCACCTTCAACGAAATTTCCTTTCCGACGCTTTGTGTCAATCCAATCATATATTGTGTCAATACTTATCATTTTATCGTAATTTAAAAACTTGAAAATTGCACGGTACACTATAGAAATTACGATAAATTTTCCCTAATCGGCGCCATGTTTTTAGGCTCCTCCCATTTGACGGATCCCAATACCCAGAAACATTTTTTTTGTCAAAGAAGTATATGTATTTTTTTTCTGCATCCAAATTCCTAACCAGAATGTTTAATCTGAATATTGGATAAGATGATTAAAAGTGAGCTTTCAGTTACCGTACGAATCGCAAATTTGCAATAAAAAAAATACTTGTTTTCCGCTAAATATATTGTAGAAGAGCATAGAGCAGAGCCTGTACAGGTTGTGGTTGAAGTAATCATTTTTTCGTTCGTTGGCATTCCAGGTGTCAGTTCCGCCAGTTCGAGAGCCAATACGGGAAACCGCATTCAGTTCAGTGCCTCATTATTACAACGGTGGCGGTTACAATTATGGCTACCACTATCACCACGGTTCGCCTTTGGGTTCGTGTTCATGTAGCACCGAGAGCGACTCGACGACCAGCTCGCTCCGTAGTCCCTGGTGCGTATGCTTGGTAGTGTGTGTTGTCGTTGCAGCCTTAGGGATAGGTTTGGGCCTTCCTCTAGCTTTAAATCCACAGACTGAACCGCACACCCCTCAGGATCGTCTGCGCATCATACGGCGTCTCCTCAAGGAGAAACCGCTGATTGACGGGCACAACGATCTGCCCTGGAACATACGCAAGTTTCTCCACAATCGGATCGTCAGAACGAACTTTAGCGTCCTGACCGATTTGGAACCGTGGTCCAAGAGCCACTGGTCGCAAACGGACATCTCGAGACTCAGAGAGGGTCTTCTCGGTGCACAATTTTGGTCCGCTTATGTGCCTTGCGGTTCTCAACATTTGGATGCCGTTCAATTGACTCTCGAACAGATCGATGTTATCCAGCGATTGGTCGAGCTTCATTCGCGCAATTTCGCTCTCGTCCGGAGTTCGAGCGAACTGCTCCAGGTGCACAGGGACGGAAAGATAGCCTCTCTGATCGGCGTCGAAGGCGGCCATTCGCTGGGAAATTCGTTGGCCGTGCTGAGGATGTTTTACAGTTTAGGAGCCAGATATTTGACCATCACGCATTCCTGTGATACCCCGTGGGCAACCGGGGCGAATACCAAAACCAAGGGCGGTCTCAACTCGTTCGGAAGGAGCGTAATACATGAAATGAACAGGCTCGGAATGATAATAGACCTCTCCCATAGTTCCATGGAAACTGCTAGAGCAGCTTTGAATGTGTCGCGTGCCCCGATAATCTTCTCGCATTCCAGCGCTTTCTCGTTGTGCAATTCTACCAGAAACGTCCCAGACGATGTGCTCAAACTGGTCGCTCATAATGGTGGCGTTGTTATGGTCAATTTCTATTCGTACCATCTGACTTGTAACGGTTCGGCAACGACCAAAGACGTCATCAGACATATTAATCACATCAAGACCGTTGCCGGAATCGAACATGTCGGAATCGGTGCCGGTTATGATGGGATCAATATGACGCCGATAGGTCTCGAGGATGTCTCGAAGTACCCGTATCTGCTTGCCGAACTTCTGGAAGATCCCGCGTGGACCGAGAACGATATCGCCCTGCTGGCGGGCCTGAATGTTTTGAGGGTTTTCACAAAAGTCGAAGCTCTTAGGGATCAGTGGAAGTCGGCCACGATAATGCCACTAGAAGACTCGCTTCCACCCCAAAATCCCAAATGTGCGTATAAGTTTTCATGACCGCAACTGATGTATCCTTTTAGCGTGAATTAGGCCGGCGATCCGTGTGCGTTTATGTGTATTTATACTTGGCCCTTTTTGTACAAGAGTAAAATTGTTTTTTTTTAGGGAATGCAGTTGTCGAGGGAGTTTTTTCTGTACTTTATCGCCCTGTCCAATGATAAATGGACGGATCTCGGCTATTTTTGTTTCGTTTAAAATTAAATAGTACTTGCCCTGCTCCTTGGCGTTTATTTCATCATTAATCATTCAGATTGGGGTCTAAATTAGACTTCTTATAGAAATACTGGCAAATGATTCTGCATTATTTATTTTATTGGTGTTTCAATTAAATGTTACGAAAAAGAAATACTGGCTCACTAAAGGTTACCTAACGTATATTCCGAAATTTTTTCTCTGATTCTTGTTTGATGTTTTTAATGAGTCGGAAAAATATCTATTTTCTATTTCTCTATTTTCAAAAATATACACAATTTGCGATCAGAAACGTTTTCTTCAATAACTTCTATATTAGTATTCACTATTTATTTAGTTACTGTTTTGTGTTTGAATTCATTTTGAAATGGAAACCGAAGGAATAACAAAAACGTTTTAAAAATGTTTTGTGAAAAACTTTTCCTTTTATTTAACCTGTTTCTTCCGTTTTGTCTTTACTCGTTTCTTCAATCAGTGTAAGTATGCCAGGTATGATGCAAATGTTCCTTTTTGCTTCCATATTACAGACTGCTAACGATATCAGTTTTCTTGTCCTCATTAAAATATACTTCATTTACTTTCTCTAGCGATGTGCCCCTTCCACTGTCTTGGATGCGCGCTGGCAAAATCGTACTCTTGTTCATTAAACATCCTTTTTCATACAGTACCTGCCAAAAGTTTTGTTCAATCATGAATAGTAGTGCGAGACGAAACAAGCGTTAAAGCCTTTGATATGTCTTTCAATGCAATTGTAGTGGATAAAATGGTCAATTTTTCCGTGCAGTACTGTACGGATTATACGCTCCTCGCCGGTTTGGCCGAGAGTTGTCTCCTTTCTTTTCTGGCCTAGTGCTGTTCTTTTCTACTTTGCGCCGGTCAAACTGAAGGTCTCATCGCTACAGAAAGTAAACGAAGTATACGATTCTACTGTAACCTATCTCGTATTTTACAATTAAATGCAGAGTGGATCCTAAGAATGAGGCCGCCAGACTTGTCTTACGTTAAAAAAGTATTGACTACAAAGCTCTTTCAATCTTAAAAGTTAAATGATTTGTTTTTTAATTACTCAGAGTATTTGGAATTTTGAATTAAAATGAAAACGGAAAACACGAAACTGCGAGTTTCTCGTTATCCAATGGATTTAGAAACTTTGTTTTAAATTTCACCCTGGAAAGGAAAAAATATTGGAAACAAAAAAGTATGAACCTTTAGTTAGCCTGTAAGTCAGTATACTTCTTCTTAAAAATATTGAAACCGTCGTTATAAATTACAAAGGACTGTTACGGAGTTATGTAATTAAAATACATACAAGATGCAAAATGTAAAAAGAAGCCCTATTTCAAATAAATTTTTATTATTGTTTATTAACAAAATTTCATGCAGGTTTTATGTACGAAAAATTTTATATGCAGTGGTATCAGAAAATGAAAAATTATAACCATCATTCATAGGTCGTCAGAGCTATGGCTAATGGGACTTCCTCGATTTAATAAAATCAGAATTAGGTATTTTGCATTTTGTTTTTCTATTTCAATTAGAAGTAATTCAAGAAAAAAAACATATGTCTGACATTAGCCCATCTAAACAAATACAGTGTAAACTCTTTATAACGTCACTCGATTTAACGACAAACTTCTTAAAACGTCGAAATTGCTTGACTGGTTGTTTTCTATACAATATTACACTCTATATAGCGTCACGCTCACTCTATTTAACGACAACAATGCGGCATTATAAATCATTAAGCAGTACTTTCTAAGTTGCCGAAATAGATAAGAACTGCAGCTGTGTACGTTGTTGAAGAAGACGATCCTGTCCCTCCACCAAGCATCAAACAAGCACTTGATGCAGCGAAACTATTAAAAAAATACTTTTTATATAATCAAATTGATCCAGCAGTATCTCAATATATGAGTAAGATGCGTAACAAAATACAATTAAAATATTGGAGCAGCAAAAAACATCAGACGAAGATAACAGGCTATACGCAATGTATGAATAATAATGTTCGTGTGCAAAATGTGCACTATATTAGTAAATGCATATTATTATAGAATAGTAAAATAATATCTTTTATTTCTCTCCATTTAACGACCACTGTTTATAACGCCGAAAAATGTTCAGTCCCTTAAGTGTCGCTATATAGAGTTGACACTGTATAGTCGATATTAGTACAGAAGATTAAACTCCCATTTTTTAATGATATTTTTGTATTATTAATGGAAATGTTTTTGATACGTATTTTTGTACTGTGCAGAGAACAGGAAGGTAAATTAAAGAAGGAATAGATAAATAAAAGGTACGTATTATATCTAATCAGTAGGTGATAAAAAACGCTGCAGTTTGTATATTCGTTTCTAAATAATATATAAATAAATATATATATTTACACTGCCACATAATAAATATAACGCACAGGAAAGATTTACATACGTATTTTTTAAATAAATAATTAGAAGGTATTAAACGAGTTTTTTAAAATGATAATAATACATAGACGGTTAGGTAAAATTTTCGAATGGACCTTTTCAGACGTTTTGTCTCATTGTCATTCAGCTACGAGCACGTAATGCGTTTTACAAGTTCGTTAAAGTACATTTACTCACATCGTTCTATGGAAATCGATTTTCTTGACGTTTTCCATCAGTTTAAGTAGATGACTTAGTTTCTACAATTTTCCAACTTGAGACGTTCTTTTATGTAGAGATGTCGCTTACTCCACCAACTCAATATTTATTTGCACATATTCCTTCAGGATAATGGTTTTAAAAACGAAAAAGGAGAAAGCCAAAACACTCCTTTTATGCTCCAGTAAATGCTCTACTTACTACTTTTCATTTTTCCAAATACGCCTGGCACGAATCTGGAATATGTCCCGGAAAAAAGGGGAACTAAAATGTATAGTATGTACGGGGTGTTCTCTGAACCACTACCAAGCAGAGACAGATAATGACTTGATAATTTCAGTGGTATTTTATATCTTACTTCGCTTTATTATCATTCAACATTGTTACAACATTTTAATCATTAATAAAAAGAGAAAGACTTTAAAAGAATAGCTAATTTTGTCACCAGGTAGTCGCATAAAGTTAATTTTATTCCCAGTCCATGATCAAGAGTAAGTAATGGTCGATTCATACTATCGATCACGGTTCGGCGACGGTTCACACTATACAATACGGTCACAATCAGTGCAAAGTCAGGTAAGCAAACAGGAGTGAAATCTGTGTCTATAAAGGCACCTCACCTATATTACAAAATCGTAAAACGCTTCACATGATAATTTAGTGCTTTTTCAGTGCTTCAATTAAAATTTTAATACTCTAATCCTTATGTGAAAATTAGTGGTAGTTCTGATTGAGAGGGAGGCAATAAACTTGAAATATACATATGACTATTATAATAAGATTTATTGAAGAATAATCATCATAATTTTGGGGTTATTTTCAGCACCGGAAAAATGAAAAACGAAAATTTACCTAAATATTAAAGCGATATTTACGATTTATACCACTATCTCTTTGCTTCGTAAGCGAAAATAATAAAAATTACAATTTGGACTCGAGTTTGTAAAAATAAAATCCCAGCAGAAATAAATTTAGTAAGTATNGTAAACGATAATAATAAAAATTACAATTTGGATCCAAATTTCTAAAACTAGAATCCCAGCAAAAATAATTTGACTAGGTATTTTAGTTGATATTACAAATTTAATTGTAATAGTTAAAAAACTTGAAATAATTTTTAAAGAAACATGTCGAAATTGATATTATTATTAAGTTACATAATAAATTCTACCGTTTCTACGGCAAATACCTAAATATAAAGGTGTATAAATAAAGATCTACGTAATACATACATAAAGATACTACAAGCCTGACGCTGGAAGCTGGCGGAAATTTTAAAATGGCGTGGATGCGCTGTGGCAAAGGTAGGCAGTTTTAGGTATAACGATTGCAGCCCTCATTCTTCAGTATTCCTTTCAGGGGCGTAGATTAAATATTTAAAAATAGGAATCAGTGAGCAAGTAATAGACAGACAGACAAACAGAAGAACTAATTGTTGATGTTGGTGACAGTGATAGAGATTCCCATGATGAGAGTGAATGTGAAAACTAACTATAGAACAAAAGCAATAGGTTTATTTTTTCTTTTTGGTAAGTCATGTTTCTACATTATTTTCTAGTACGCTACTGTCCTATCTGTATTAATACTATAATTTACGCCTATTGAAAGCTTATTTGTGTATCGGTTCCAAGTGACTTACCCAAATATGTCATAAATGGGCAAGTACCTGCGCGACCGCTCGCCAGCTTCCTTCGTCAGACCTGTACGTTCTTGAAAGAAGTAGTACCCTCTTCCCACTTTAGTACTTGTGGCACAAAAATGGGACGTTTACTAAGACTACTGGCGTGGGTGTACTATCATCACCTTCATTCAAAATCAGAACCACCACTAAATTTCATATAGAGAACGGAACACTAAAATTTTAATTAGAACACTAAATTAGCACGGAAACACTAAATTCTCACGTGAATCATTTTGTGTTGTGAGTATGCTGGCTAAGCAGGGCGGCCGTTGGGGGTGGCGAGCTGGACCACCCGGAGTATCATCTATCACCATTAAGCATCATTTCTGAATCCCTGATTCTTTCAGAGATTAATGCATCTTAGATTATCACGATTGATAATTTGTAATCTTTGCGTTCATTAATTTTTGTTAATTTTCAATAAATATTTTAATATTCTAAATTTATTTATTAATAACTTTGCATTTCTCGTCAAGTATCATAATCATTAAAACTAATTCCACAAAGACAAGGGCCTCTCAAAGATATACCCACCCCGAGAGTCTCGCAATGGCTGAGGCCGCCCCTGGTTTACTTGGCAGACGTTTGACTATTATGGTACTATTATAATACTTCTATTAGATGAAGGAAAGAAAAAATATTTTTTAATATTTCGGTAAAAGTTTTCATAAAACTACAATAGTTGCTCAGCCTGGTATTTTCACTTTCTAAGTGATACAAAATGTATTTAATAATTTTGTTGCTTCACTAGATTTTATATTTCGATTAAACACCCGCTATGGTTTGTAACTGGTGGGACACCCTGTAGGTATACAGTTTTACCCCACTTCAATTTTTGAAAACTATGTAAGTAGAGTTTTTTACGGGGCAACCTAATTTTCACCATTTTTTAGATAAATGGAATAATTAGAATCACGTGGTGTCATTTTGCCATTGTTGCCATGTTTCGTACAACAAAGTTACATTTCTTATTTCTGAAGTACACTACAGTTTGTCGCTAATTTGTTACCAAATACAAAAATTTGTCGCTTCAATCAATTACCGAATAATAGATGAAAATCTAACCTGATGTTAAGCTGCCGCTGTCTACATTCTGCGTAGCTCAAAGTAGAAATTTCTTATCTTTAGAGAAGTACTGCCATCATCATAAGGTCGTCAGTCCTAAAAGTGGTTGGACGCGCACCTCCACTCCTTCCTATCCTGAGCTAATCTTCGCATTTTCCTAAAATTAGAATATCCCACATCCATAACTATTTGCAAACAGTAATCTAATCTAGGTCTACCTCTACTCCTCTTAACTCCTGTTTCTGCCTCTAATATGTCTCTGA